TTTCCTGTTCATTTGGTATCATAGGGGGCGATGCTGTGGAGCCTCATTTCCACTGCCCAGAACGAATGAATATTTCTGATGAAGCAAATGTATATGCAGGGAAGGCTTACACGCAACGAGTCAATAGGCGTCTCCCTCAGAGAGTCTCTTTTCTCTCACTGAGCATTGATCATGTGCTACATTTGCCTCCCGTTCACAGAATGAAAGAAAAAAATGAGGGTGTATTTACAGGGGCTTGTAATGATATCATATATCAGACTGACCCACTGGTGTAATGATTTCGCAAAAATACCTCACTTAGAGGAAAGCAGAGGACAGTGCATGCTGAGATGGACTGTCGCTGAGCAGCCCCTTCTAATGGATGCTGTTTGGGAGCAGGGGAGGAATACGAAAACGGGGATTTGTGTTATGTCGTACGATGCAATAAACATCTAAAAATCTCTTCGAGATGGCAGATGGAGCTTGTTGCCAGAGATTTTCCTCCACAAAATTCAAGAGACTTCCCATGGTGCTGCTGCTCGCTTCTCATTGACGGTGGGCAAACAAGACTTTGGGGTTGTAGCTTATTAATATGGCTATCCAACGAATGCAATATTTAATTTCTTGATCACAATTATATATCAATATTTATAAAAAATCTGAAGATTATTCCAAGTTATTTCATCATTACATTAAGGCAGACAAGTAAATCATTGAACATGATGTTTGAACATGAAAACTGAAGTCAATATATTTTTTACGAGATACCTTTGGCAGTCCTGTCACATCTTGCTAAGTAGTTATTCTCCGAAAAACGCGATTTGAGATCTCTATAAATTCTGTTCCATTTGTTTATGCGTCTATCTGTTCTATGGATGTAAGAATGTGTCCTGTGTGAATAAATCCACAAAACCATGAAGGTTGTACTGCAGCCTTATTACAAAATTTGGTTACACTTTATTTTAAGGAGTCCTTGTTACAGTGTAAGTATACATTTAAGTACTGAGTAATATTAAATAACTACATGCACTTACTGTATCGTTAGGGTGTGAATTAGGGTTTGGTTAAGGGTTACTTGCATGCAATTATGTATAATTTATTGTTATTATAATAGTAAGTACATGTAACGTGTAACAGACACAGTAAAATGAAGTGTTACCCAAAATTTCTATATAGTTCAGTGGGCACTAATATTATTGTATTTATAATTAACCAGATTAAATGAACACATTCTGTAATGCAAGATGCAAGGCTTTGAGAACCGAGCATCAGTTCAGGCCTCCACAGAGACGTGAGCAGAAAGACAGAGTATCTATTGTCACTAGAGCTTGCACTTTCTCAGAGAACTGGAATATCAATATGCCACCTTCTCCAGGAGATGTGCTCTCTTATAAGCCCTCACTACAGAACATTTTTACCTCTTCTTTTCTCCCTCCTGAACCATCCCTCCATATCTCGATGTACGTGCACCCCATGCAGCTCAACACAAGCTGGATTATGGGCTGGGAGGTGTAGGCAGGGGGCAGCCACAGCTGCTGCTGTCCCTTACGAGAAGAGACTCCCTGGGGTGACCCTTGTGAAAGAGGGAGGCCGGCTCAGCTAAGCCACTTCATTCAGCGGCCCCACGGCTCCCTGCCGGGCTCAGGCCAGGGGCTAGACCGAGTGAAAGAGCAGCAAAGAAAAGGGCAAGGATAGAAATGGATAGAAAGACTGAAACGGGACTGAAAAAAAGAGCAAGACTGGGTTTTGGAAAGGGGGGCGATTGGTGGTGGTCATATTTTATTTATTCATTTTTTGGACTACTTTTCTGCTGTGGTGCGAGTCATGCAGATCACAGATAATTGTTGCACTGTCAGAAAGATTTCCAGCACGGCAGTACGCCGATCTAACCCACAGAAGGGCTAAATAACAACAATCACCATGATCATAAAGAGCAGAGCCCATGCTGGAGAACTCCATTCACGCTAATCAGGAGTCCCACTGTTTTAGTGCGTCGGGCACAGCACAAAGGCCTGCTAGCAGGACGCCTGGCCCGCCATCACCACTGCAACCTGGCTAAATGGAGCAGGTGATTTCCCAGCCTCCCCCCGGGCCCGGCCAATCATGCTCACAGGCAGGTGGAAGGGAGGGCGTACCAAGGTACACGGCGAGGGCAATGCTAAAGAGTCCATGCGGTGGAAGCAGAGTGCAATGAAACCACCGCTACACCTACACACACTGCGAGCTTCAGCCCTGCTGCAGGTAATAACAGGTTTGCAAGACAAATGAGGCTGCAGATAAGAAGGTCCAAGCAGATGGAGAAGGAAAGGGTGGGGTCAGAGCCAAGAATATGAACCCACATGTCTGACACTGGCTTAATAAGCAGCAGTTGTGCTGATGGCAGCAGCTAGCAATCGCCCCATAGGGAAGTGAACAAAACCTCCAGCTGAACCCAACACATCTCACACACACTGGACAAGCTCTGCAAAAATAAAGCCAGCTTCGTCCTCTGAGCACAAAACACTGACGGAGGAAATATTCATAATTCCATCTCGGGCGAAGCTGGGAGGTGCTACTGCGCTTAGGGTAAAACTTGGGCTACAAGACATGCCGATTTGTAGTTTGGCTTGATCTGCAGCCTAATGCGACCTGAAGATTCATTCGAAATGGGCGCTCGGCCCAGAGACCGATGACAGTCTCCAGTGAGGGCAAATATACTGGCATTACATCATTCTGTCTCCCTGGGTCTTAAAGTGACACCTCCGCAATTAATGCTTTCTGCTTACACTGTCAATACTGAACAGGCTAATGAATAGACAACAGGAGCAGCCCTAAACAATCACACTGTTGTTGTAGCTTGATTTTAGATCCAATAATCAATAGGGTTGGGTATCGTTTGTTTGTTTTTTTCAATACCGGTGCCAAATCGATACTTTTAAAACGGTTCCGGTGCCTGAACCGATACTTATTAAAAAATAAATAAATAAAAATTCCCCCAAAAATAGAATGGATTGGTCATTAGCACTATAAAGACATGATGTCTGTTTCATTCATACTGGACGCCAGAGGGCGCCCTCGCACAGAAAATCCACATATCCAGTCACAGAAGTAGCGGAACTCATGACCCTCCAGGAAATCCCTTATATAGACAAAGGCATCTCTATTATAGCTGTAACTGAGTAAACAGAACATATAAACGTTTTGAATGACAAAAACAATAAACACTCGACTGCGACAATATAGTTTATCTCTGTTATTCAAGCCATCTCTGGTATTTTCATAATAAT